ATCACAGGGACTTCTTGAGCTGCGTTCTCCAAAAACTGAACCATCCCCCGAGTGACAGTGTGTTTTCACTGTTAATAGATTCATTGTTTCCAGTACCAAGAGCGGCACCTTTCCACCCGCCGCGTGTTCTGCAGCTGGTCGCGAATCCATCCAGGATGAAGCCGTCACCACCCCTGCTTCCTCCCGAACAGGCGTGAGGACCGCGGCTCTGCCTTTAGACTCCTTCCTCATCCCCAGGAAAAGCACAAGCACCCGCTAGAGCAGGGGCTCCAGGCCATAGTCCCTCTGCGGAGGGGGAACGTTCACTCGGCCATGTGACCCCCGGCCCAGATGAGCCTCGTTCCTGGACGGCAGACACGGAGGGTGCATCCGACGGCCAGTGGGAGGACGGGCCTCTGTCACGCACTTCACTTTGGAAACACACAGCGAAATAAAGCAAGCTCGTCCCTTCCAGGTAACAACACAGGATATACGACAGACAGAGCTGGAAAACTATTCAGATTCTTTTCCAGAATCGCCCTGTTGGAGTCTGAGACCCTTGCCGAGTCCCCAGACCCCCGGCCGGTTTCCTCTGCTGCCCGTCTTCCCGCCTCAGTCCTCAGGCGCCGTATCTGCCAACCCACCTGCTGAAATGGGAGCAGCAGGTGAGCTGACCCTGCAGGGCCCCCTGCCCGTTGCTGGTGACCCCCGAGGTTCAGCCAGGCTTCATGGGCCCTCGACCTGGAACCTGCCCGAGGCTGTGAGGCGACCGCGCCAGAACTGCCTGGAGAGCTGAGACCAGGCTGCTCCCCGCCTCTGCCACGGGCTGGTCAGCGGACCCTGCAGGCTCCCCGCGTCCCACCACGAGCCCACCGCCGCTCTGGCCTGTGTTCCTCATCTGTGTCACAAGGCACAGATCAGGAGGAACCCCGACATCGCTTTTACCTAAACACCTTCCGATTCTCTCACGTTACGTCTTGGAGGAGATGAGAGTCCCTGCAGGCTTTGGCTTTTCCCAGCTTTTAACAGGCGTCCCGCTCACCCGCAGAGAGCACGGTTTCTCAGCAGCTGGACTGCATGAGCGCTTCCAAAGCATCCTCCTCAGTCTCGCTGAAAAAGCACAGCCTTCTTTCCAGCTCCAGGGCTCACCAACCCCTCTAACATTTATTCCGGGCTCTCAATCACAATGAAAGCACACTGGGTGCAAGACCGGTTCCGGGCACCTACACGCACAGCCGCCGGCCCACACTCACAGGTGCAGGCACTGCATCCCAGGCGAGAACGGAGGGTGTGACCGCGGCAAGCAGGCCGGGCCGTCGGGGGAACCTGTGTGTGCAGCTGGCGCTGCCGCAAGGAGCCCCTCCTCCCCTGGGCCAGCAGCCTCCTTGTTCCGGGATTCCTTGTGCAGGTGCGGGCACCTGGGCCACTGGCCAAGCCCCTTGCGTGTCAGGAAGGCAGTGCTGACCCCACAAGCCACCATGAACTCGCTGAGCCCTTCTCATGGACCCAAAGTCTCTGCCATGAGTTGAGTTGGGTGAGGGTCAAGCTGCCGGCCCCGCCCGGACCCGTGGCTGCCCCTTGCACGGCCCCCTTCTCCCCTCCAGCCCACCTGGCACCCACGCTGGTCCTCAGAGCCCCCCGACAAGCACCCAGGTGAGGCGTCCCCTCCTCCGAAGGCCGGGCTCTGCAGATGTCCCTGTGGCCTGGGCCTTGCGTGGTGCTCCCGTCAGGGAGAAGCCTGGTCGGCCGTCCAGACGGCTGCGCTGCGTGGGCATCACAGCAGGCGTCACTCCGATCTCCCAGGAGCGACAGCATCACACTTTGCAGAAGGACATGCCTGCCCCCTTCACCTGGAGGCTGGGCAGAGCTCACGGTCCGGGGTGGGTCTTGGCGTCCAGCTGTCCTGGTTCCCAGCCCTGGGCCCGCACCCGACAGTGTTTAAAGGCAATGTTCTCCAAACGGGAGATGCTAGGATTTAAAATCACGTGTGTTACTTGAAATGAGCCCAGAGGGAGAACGGAAGCCGAGTGCTGAGGCCAGAGCTTGGATTAGACAGGACCCAGCTGGTGCTGCTAAGACCCAAGGGCGACAAGCCGCTGAGCCCGGCCCACCACCTGCCGGACAGTCATGAGTCAAACACCCCAGCAAAGAGGAGCTGAGGCCGAAAAGGCCCCCGGGAGGGGAGCAGACACGGCCGGTCTCAGGGCAGGAGGGACGCGCAGCGCACGCAAGAGGCCACGGCGCCGGGGGCCACGGGGCAGGCGTCTCCGCGGGGCGCGGGGAGCAGAGCGTGTGCTTCCTCTAAAGGTGATCAAGCACATCCTCCCTGAAGGGAGACGCACACACGGGTTAGAAATACGCTACTTAAGGATAAGCTACCGAGAAAACGAAGAGTGAGAAAAGGACTTTTCTGTCCTGCTCAACTTGACTAGATGACGTGGCCACGAAGACTGAACGTAACCACCGGTTTTCTCTGTGTGCTCTGAACGCAGGAAGTGTCTCCTGGGAACCACTGTTCACTCACACCTGACGTCCACGCCCAAGTTCACTAATGAATGCCCAGGGAAGAACCACCCGTATAAGGAAACCCACGGCATCCACCTTTCAGGACAAACACGGACCACGTCTGACGGGGACAGACGTGTCATTGGCTACACGACTCTTCATTAAGTTCTGTACCACCCTGTGCAGAACAGGCAAAGGAAATGCCCTTTGAACTCATCACAGGGTCACGTCTCCCTTGTTGGTAACAAGAGGGGCGCACAGCGCAGCGCCAGGAAGCCCCACGGCGAGAAGCAAAGGCAAACGGTCCTGGGATCTGCAGGGGCACCGACACGCGGGCGGAAGGCTGTGCGGTCTGTACGCGGCCCATCCTGCCGGCCCCGCCCACACTGCCACAACAACACTAGTAAGATTCCACATCATCTTCTAAAACCGGAGCCACAAAACGTCCTTCTAAGTTCAAACTCTTCCTGCTAACACGGGGTCACGTCCACCCCTAGGTGGACCCCGCACTGGAGGAGGCTGCTTCTCCGGGTGGCAGCAAACACGCCCTCAGGGTGGCCGGGGTCGAGGTGCCACTACAGTTCGGTATTTCTGCCGCCAAACGCTCAGATCCTATGGTCACAGACTCTTCTCCGTAATCCTTTCCCTGTATAGCATCAGGTACGTCCATAACACCATGAAATTATTTAAAATACAAAAGAAACGAAGTTTTAAAATCATGCACGTGTGTCATCCATTTTGCACAAGCAAGAAACACCCTGGCTGGCACAGCTGTGCTGGTTCACGAAAACGTAATTCAGAAACTTGAGTATTTAGAGGGTTGGCGATACGACACTCACACTGCACGTGCAATTTCCCCCTCGGTACCTGACGTGAACACATTTCAAATGACCAAGGAAGCAGACTTCAAATAATCAACCTCATTTCCCACAGAAAGCAATAAAATAAATGAAATGCCATTGTCGTGAATCTATTGCCACAATTCTAAAAGATAAAAAGACTTCGTTCCATTTTATTCCACTCAGAGCACCCTTAAGTTCCAGCAAATCCAATTTTGAAAGTATTACTTCCCAGCACTGGAATGAATTGCCAATTATGGAACAATTGTTAATGCATTTCTGGGTAAAAAGTGATAACTGATTTGGTCTTAAATATATTCAATAATCTCTTATGGTGAGGAACGAGGACCATAAAATGGGTGCTGTGCGGGGAAAGAGAGCCCGTGGTCACACAGGGTGAAGCCATTGACACGGAACTCCGCTCCTTTTCAGCCAGCGGAGTGTTTAGAATGGAATCTGCTGACTTTCTTTCTCCGGGACCCCGGAGAAAGGCTGCTCTGCTCTGCTCTGCTCAGCTGGACCCCGAGCTCCACCCGTTACAGTGAAATGAAGCCTAGGAGGCATGTGGGCTGGGGGCGTGCGCGTCAGCTCTCCACAGGCTTTCTGGGAAGTAGCACAACTCCGCAAGGAATTCTTCTTTAACCAAAAATTCTGTTCCCCAAATCATTCCTTTCAGCAAATCAGAGTTCCTAAGGGCATCAAAATATCCTACAAGGAAAAGCCAACAGCAACCAAAAAGAGAAGAGCTACAGTTTGTTCCACCAAAGAGGGTGTTACAGCTATTTTTATGCCCTGTTGACCGTCACTGGATAAAGGAACTTTAATAGACGCCATGAGGTGATACCTCAGTGGAGGAGAACTAAGCGCCCAGATCTCTAAGTCGGCCCAGATACGTGCCGCATCGTACACTGGGGCGAAAACGTAGGCGTCATTAAAAATAGCTCATATATTTAGCCACATACAGGATCGGCTGAAACAAAGAGTCATTTTCTGCTGCGTCTGGGTCGGTGCATCCAGCCACTGCGCTTACCAACGACCATAAAGCACGAGAGTCCTTCCCACTGAGTAATGGAAAACGTGAGGCTCAGGTTCTGTTACGTTTCCTATATTTTTCTTACTGGGCGGAAAGACTGTACATGTTACACAAGTGTCCAGTAGCTGAAAACAAACGTGGGCTGCAGGGGAAAGCAGCCTCCGTACACACCCCACGCTCTGCGCTTTGCGCTTTCCATTCAGGGACACACACCAACCACACGCTGGGACCCCCCCACCCCAGAAGATCTCACAATGCGTGAGCGGGTGACGGGCTGGGCTCTAGGAGGGACGCCGAGGTCAAGCACTGGGCTACTCAGACCTTCGTCCCGTGCTCTCGTGGGCCAGGTGGACACGGTGAAGCCCGTGCGAGCTGCTGGGCTGGGACGGGACGGAAAACCTCAAATCACCAGGCCATTGTTTTGTCCACACGGGCTCCTCGCAGAGGCCGGAGCCCCGCCCCTACACCACCTTCTATCCGAGCGAGCAGTGCGGTCGCCACCGCCCACCCCCGGGAGGCCAGCCACTCCCCTCCGGGCCCCACCCGATGAGTATCGGGGTTCTGGGGAGACGGCTGTCCTCGGAGCAGCTGGCCCCCTTCCCCTGCCCGGGCGGGTGCGTGCGCTTGCGCGGAAGCAGCCTCACCTGCCGCCTTCGCGGCGTCCGCCGCTGTCACGTTCTGGAGGTTGGCGCGCACCCTGAAGGTCACCGCTGGTCCCGAGACCCTGGAAGAGACCGTTTAACAGGCGTGAGAACCGCTCAGCACACGGGCCTCCTCCCTGAACGCCACACGCACCCCAGGCGCTGCTCGTCCACACGCGACCTCCGCGGGGGTGGCTTTGCGGGGTCACTGTGACTCTGTTCCCAGATTCCAGGAATTCTATCCACAGGCTTCGCTTTTCTAACACACACACGGCAGGGCTCTTACAAAAAGTTCAAATCAACCCCAATATCCAACAATAACAAGCAGATATTCTTGCAAGGGAAAAAGAAAAATTGTTATGGAAACTGTTTTCAGTATTCTGTTCCCAAGGGAGCCGCAGGAACCAAAAGCAGAAAGGAAAGAGACGGGTATTTTTAAAATTCTCCTGAAAGGAGCTGTTTAAAAAACTTATTGAAATCTTTAGAGCTACTCAGTAAAAAAATAACTGGCAGGGGGCCTTCCCTGGTGTCGCAGTGGTTGAGAGTCTGCCTGCCGATGCAGGGGACACGGGTTCGAGGCCTGGTCCGGGAAGATACCACATGCCGTGGAGTGGCTGGGCCCGTGAGCCACAACTACTGAGCCCGCGCGTCTGGAGCCTGTGCTCCGCAACAAGAGAGGCCGTGATAGTGAGAGGCCCGCGCACCGCGATGAAGAGTGGCCCCTGCTTGCTGCAACTGGAGAAAGCCCGCGTGCAGCAACGAATACCCAGCACGGCAAAAATAAATAACTTAATTAATAAATAAATAATAATTAAAAATGAATATCTGGTAAAAAAAATTTTCAAAGCTTTTTAAATACTGTGTTGCACATGACTTTGAAAAGTACATGCCCCTTTCAACAACTGATTCGTCTGAAGGGGGGCAGGGAGGCCGCCTTTGTCAGGACTGTCCCAGCTCCGCATCTCCTGGGCCGTCATCTCCCGGACACAACCCCCAGGAGCTGGTGTTGAGGGGGCCGGAACGGCACAGGCCGCTCAGAGGTGGCCCTTCCCGTCACACGCGTGGTTTCCAGGGGCTCCTGGCCATCACGATGCCCCTGGCAAGGCAGTGCTCTTCTTGGTGATCGGTGAGGTTTCCCACGACAGGCTGTGTTCAGTTCAACGAGGACCCTGAGGACCCAAGGGCTGTCCTCCCTTAAAGGGAGCCCAGCTGAGTCACAGGTGACGCTGCCAGGCCGCCCGTCACCTGCATGTTCTAACCCGGCCCTGCCCCCTGCCGGGCCACCCACTCCACGCCAATTCCAGCGTCTATGACGGGATCATTTCAAAGGCGCTCCTAATAAGGGTGATGTAAGGAAAAGTGCACGAGAGTGAGACTCAAGTGAAAGGGACCGCACTTAGGAAGAGTTACGTGGAAAGGACAGCGACACTCTCAGAAACGGCAGAAACACCGCTAGCAGGAACCAAATCACCGAGTCAGGCGTGTGCCACGTGCCACCTCCTCTGCATCCACTCTGTCCCCTGCCCTCCTTCCCGAGCGCGTCATCCAGAGGCCGGCCCGCTGCTCCAGGTCGTGGGAGCTCAGACCACGCGTCCACGAGCCTCAGGGCTTCTTGGCATTCAGGGGCTACCTCCACTCGTGACCCTCAGGCGGCCTCCGGCCCAGCTCCCTGGCCAGCCGGGTCCTCTGCAGAGGGAACTGCGGAGCCCCCAGGGGTAGCATGGCCGTCGTTCCAGCACCTCTGCTGTCGGACGTTCCACCCAGGAGCCTGGGCCTTGCCGCAAGCACAGCGAGCGCTCCTGAAGCAGCTCCTGCCGTGGCGCCCACAGCTCTGGTGGCTCATCCAGCCATGGGGCCTCCCGGTCACCTCCCTGTACAAGGAACGTCACCACGTCCGGCAGCAGCGCCACCCTCCCTCTCCACCCCCGCTGTCGCGGCCGAGCTGAGTCTTCCCGGGTCCCCCCGCCCCCCCGCGTGTGGCACCCGGAGGACCTGTCCGACCTCCGCCCACGTCACGTGCAGCACCCTCCGTGGACTCCCCAGGCCCCAGGGTCCGAGGGGATGCAGCAAACCCCTCCCCGGCCCCTGCTGATGCTCCCGGGGTGGACAAGGGGGCCTCCCTGCCCCTGGAGACTTCCTGCCGCGGCGTCTTCCCCCCTCGCGTGGGAATCGGGTTCCGCCCCCTCTCAGTTCCAACCCCAGTTCCACAGACGCTCTGAAAACCGTCGCTCTGGGACCTTCTAGCAAGTGCAGCCACTGCTCGATGTCTGTGCTTGAATTAAACGTTAATTATTGTACAGGTCACTCGCGTGACGATGCTTCCCGCCGGCGCCTGACACGCGTGTGGACGGTGGGGCTACGTCTGGGACTGAGTCCCGACATCTAGTGCAACTGCTTCCAAAACTAGGAGAAAGTCCTTCCCAACACGAGTGTCCACACCCACCACCAACGCACTAACAGCAGATCCGCGCGGCGCGGCTCTGGGTTTACGCGTGGCTTCTGGGACGTGTCTCATCTAAACCACGTCTGCAGAGTTCCAGGCACGTGGGACCCCCAAATCTAATCTTCCCTCCAGATCTCACAGACGTCCCCGGATTCCCAAAGACGGAGCACACAGGGGTTGTTCACCTGCCCCAACACTTGCGGGACGAGCGGGAGAGGCCGATGGGGCACCAGGGCCCTCCTTCCTTCCGGGACGCCACACACATGTGACCCCGGGATGCACAGCCGTGACCCTGGGACCGCCTAGCTTGGAAAGCACGCCCTGAATGGAGGGTCCGTGTTGCCGTCACCAACTCCCTACCTGACACCCGGTCTGTGACGGCCCAGCCCCTGTGCAGCTGAGCCCTGGCCCTGGCACCAGTGAGGGAAGGGTCACCCCGCTGCACGGGGCATATCCAACCCCTTATGGCCGAACACGACGTGAGCTCAGGTGCTCGCTCCCCAGCACCTGCTCTAACGCGCGGGGATGTGAAAGCCCCTGCATAGGGTCTCCACTGCACAGCCGCGTCCTGTGTCGCCATCTGTCACCCTGCTGAGCCTTAACCTCCCCGGCCTCGGTTTGCCCAGCTGTAAAACAGGAGCAGTTCTGGCAAGTCGCCAGGGAAACAAGACAGGAGGCAAGTAAGTACAATCTCTGCTCCAGGAAGCTGAAACACGTCTTCCAGAATCCTCCAAACCTGCGGGGTCCTCACATGGGGAGGGAGGTGTGGAGGGTTGGCGGTGGGCACGGGACAGGGGGCCGCGTCCTCGCCGGGCTCCTGCAGGGTCCAGCCGACCTGGCCTGTGCACAGGACCTCATGAACACGTCAGGCCGTGAGTTCCTGCTGCGTCTTCAGGAACCGCCCTTCAACAGCGCGGTCGACCACACGGAAGGGAAATCACACCGCTTCCTGCCTCACGAGGACTCACGAAGGGGGACCCGAAGGGGGACCCGGGATGAGGCTGGCGCCTGCGTTCCCTGAGCTGGTTGAAGCCCCCACTGGCTGGGAGTCTGCGAGGCCCTGCAGCACCGCCCACCTGACTAAGAGCCGCATCAATCAGCACCGCCTCCTCGGACAGCCATGATTAGATTATAAAATCACAACCGCGGTCGTTGTGCGTCTGCCGGCATAATTACACCAGTGTGCTGATGCCGTTTTAATGGCCTCTAACGATGTAATAAGAAATAATGAAATTTGCTTGACAGCTACATAACCATTAACAAAACATATGAAGCATAACTAGTACTTCCATAAACACGCAGACAATCCTGGAAGTGCCGCCTCGTGGGGCAGATTCCTCTCCTCTCCTGCCACGATGACCAGCCCTGAGAGCATGCTGGCCACGCGGTCATCCCCCCAGGCCCCCCCCCCCAGGTCAGTCCCTGCGGCTGGTGCGTGTCCTCACGTGCTGGGTCCTGGGGGCGACACACAGGACTGCATGTGTGGCATGGGACACCACACACACCCCCGCAGACCACGTACAGCATTAAATACTCAGAGGTGCGAGACGAGCGTTAACTGGGCAGGACGGGGGTTCCCAAGAGGCCTGGGCACCCAGAAGCAGGCTCGAGGGCAGACGGGGGGCTCCAGGGCCGGGCGAGGCTGCGGGGAAAGGGCCGCTCGGGGGTTTAGTCACGCGAGGGCCCTGGACCAGACTCCCAAAGGCTGAAAGAGCGGGGTGCAGCATGGCCCCGGGGAGTCGGAAGCCCCCGTCCCCTGAGCAGGAAAGAGACTGGCAGGTGATGTCTACAAAAGAGCTGGTCTGGGAAACGGCCCAGCTTCCGAGCCTGGAAAGCCCCCAGGACACCCCTGTGTCCCCAGAGTCTCCAGACCTGGAGGGACTGAGCCGCAGACCCAGGTGACGGGCCAGAGAGGGGTGCCAGGCAGGCTAGGCAGCGTCCCCTGAAGGCCCCAGGCCCGAGCCCCCCCACTGGAGCCCCCCAGGACTGACGCCACTTCCCACAACTCCCTTTCCTCTCCAACCCTCCCTCAAACGCTCCCGTGGCAGCAGTGGGGGGGCGCGCAGCCCCGGCCTCCATCCCATCTGGAAGGTTTCTAAGAAACAAGGGGCGGCAGGCGGGCAGCAAAGGGCACGTCTCCAGGAAACAGCCCGGGGCTGGGACCTCTGCCTTCCGTCTGCTGCCTGGTCACCACGGAGGGTTTTGCTCACGGAAGATGATGAAGGTTCAGTGAACACAGCCCCGCGGGGGCCTAAGGAGTCCCACCCTAGAGCTCATTCGGGTGATTACTTCTGAGGTGCGAGGACGGCCTCCCAGCGCTGCAGGCCGCCAGCTGCTCCTGGAAGCTCCGGTCTCGGGACCCCTCTGCCTGGTACTTGAGGCCCTTAGAGTTCTCGCACGAGGTTCTTGCCTTTGACGAAGGAGGCACCCACTCCCTCCCTCCCTCCCGCCCTCAGCCCTGGGCCACATTCAATGTCCCCTCTACAGAGGGAGGGGTGCAGTGTCACTGGGGGCCGTCTGGGGTGCCAGACCCGCCTGTGCCATCACTCATTCCGTCATGCGTGTTCCGTCATGCGTGTTCCATCATGTGTGTGTTCCGTCATGTGTGTGTTCCGTCATGTGTGTGTGTAACACGCACCCACGCCGTGCGTTCAGCGTGCCAGGCGTGCCTATGCAGACGTGCAGCAGGGACCCCTGGACCTGAGCTGGGTTCTCAGTGGCCAAGCCCGTGGGGACCCCGTGGTGTGTGCAGCCCAGGGGAGTTGCCCACGGGAGCCAGGAACAGGGCAGGAAGCTCCAGGGACCCCCTCCTCCTCTTTGAAGGGAACAGTCAGAACCTCCGGGTCAGGCCGTCTGTCCTGCTTACTGGGCCACGTGGAGACCATGACAGGGCCGAAGGGCCTGTGGAAGTGGCCACGGGCAGCAGGAACGGCACCCCGCTGGGCTGCGTGAGGCCCTCCCACTCCAGGGCCTGAGTCTGATGACCAAACCCTCCTGGAGGTCCTGCACACCGGAGCAGTGCCGGACGCACAGCCAATCAATGCGATTTGACAGAGGACAGCTGTAACGGACCCTTGATGTTACAGGTGGGAATACAAGTGGCTTCGGGGGCCCGCGTGCGGCTGAACGGAACAGACATGGACCCTCTGCCAGCGGGTGACTCATCTCGCACCCGCCCCTCCCGCCGCCCCTCCCACCGCCCCTCCCGCTCCGAGGCCACGGCCCGTCACCGGAGACCTCAGCAGCCTCACGGCACTTGGGCTCCACCTGGGTCCCCTGTAGTTCGTTCTCCGGGCGGCTGGAAAGGCGCCTTCCTGGAGAACATCTGCGGTGGCTCCAGCACTGGGACCAAGGCCACCTGGGCTCCGGGCCGGGCTCCCACGGCCGCATGACCCTCCCATGTGGACGTCCCCCCCGTGGGTGGGGTCTCCTGCCCCAGGTTCCTCCCTCTTGGCCTCATCCCTCTGTTCGCGGGGACGGGACGGAAGGCGCCTGACCTTCTCTGGCTCTGTCTACGTGTCCACCTCTGCTGGCAGCTCAGCTCCCCAGAGCAGGAACCCTGCCTGCTCTCCACTCCACCCGGGCACTGAGCGCTCGGTAAACATCTGTGTAGCGATAACCGTCCCCGTGGACCACCACGTGCGCAGAGCTGTCAGAAGAGCCTCATTAGCTGAGGGCCCAGCCCCGAGGCCCTGGCTCGCCTGCGGGGGCCAGGCCGTCCTGACGGTCTAGAGCCTCCTGGGTGGTTCCTGGCGCAGCGGGGAGACCTGAAGCCTGGGGCAGGGTGCTTTCAGGGGACTGTGGTCCTTCTGATGATGCTCGGGTTTCAGCTGCTCTTAGAGAAACAGACTGAGCCCCGCTGGGCCTTTCCTTCCTCTTCTTCCCTCACCAGTTTCTCTGTGACACAATTAACGAAGCCCACAAGCGCACGGTGGACCCACCAGACGGAGAAGACGCCCAGGGCCCCGCCCACACTCACGCGATGTCCGAGAAGACGCCCGCCGGCATGTCCAGGAGACGCGCCACGTCCTCCAGCACCTCCGTCCCCTTCTCTGGGCTCAGCGGGCTGCGGGGAGAGCACAGGGTTACGCGGCGGGCTTGTCGCACCCGAGGAGCAGGGACCCCCGCAGCCCACCCTCCCACCCTGCCCTGCTCGGAGAACTGCTCCGGCTGTACCCGTCACATCAGGGCTGGGCTGCAGCCACCCGGGAGCAGAGGCCTCCAAGCCGTGATGAACCACCTGCATTTTCCAGCAAGAAGACCAACACCACAATGCGAATGGGGTTGTCAGGGGAGCGTGATGGGCCCAGGAGCCAGCAACTGGCTCATCTCAGCGGGGAGCGGGGGAGAGCGGGGTGGAGGTGGGAGAGGAGGGCGGAGGCCGGGAAGCCAAGTTCAGGAGGGGCGTCAAACGTGCGGAGGGAACGCATGTGTTTAAGTGGATTCGGATCCATTTCTAAAATGAGTTATGCGCCAGTGAGGATACTGAAAAGTCACACTTTTAAGGATGGCAGGACAGCGCAGCAGCAGCGACTCCCCAAAGGGGCTCACGTGCCACAGCATGGAGCCTCGGACCCCCAGCAAGGCCAGCGTCCCCAGGGGGCACCTCCAGCAGCGCATGTGACTCAGGTCCCTGAGCCCAGCCTGTCTCGCACCCCAGGCGCTGCCCGTGAAAGCCCGTCAGAGCCCTTCAGAGGAGAACTCGCCTGCGGTTACGTGAGCACTGTCGACAGCTGGGGTTTCCGTCCCAGCCTATCGTTCATTCATTCATTCAGCAAATGTGCAAGAAAGCCACTGGGTGCCGGGCGCTGTCCGGGAAATTCAGCAACAGACACTGAGCTGCTTCTTGGGGTTTACATCCAAGTGGGGACACAAGCAGCAAAGTCACCAACAAGGGAAAGGGCCTGTGTCGTTGGGGGCTGAACTGTGTCACCGAAAACACACACCTTCACGTCGTAAACCCGGAACCTCAGAATGTGGCCTCACGCGGAAACAGGGTCCGTGAGGTCATCAGGTGGTCCCTCATCCACCACCGCTGGGGTCCCCGTGGCAAGAGGAGGTGGGGACACAGACACGCCCGGGGGATGACCGCGAGGACCCAGGTGCCACGCCCGCTTGCCCCTCCCGTCCCCCACAGAGGGCGGCACCGTGTGAGTGGAAGGCGGTGAACATGCAGGGGGTGCCCGATGGGCTGTCCCAGGACCGCGTGACTCCAAGAGACAGCGGGGGCGCAGGGCACGAGAAGGAACCAAGGGGGTCCCAGAGGCGGGGGCCGTGGAGGTGGGCGCGGGGCAGGCCCTGCAGCCTGCCGAGACGGTTCAGGTGTGCGGGCAGGAGGGACCAGCAGGTGAGCGAGACCACGGGCGAGCGGGACGCCTCGGTAAGGGCGGAGGCAGAATCCCGCGCAGACGCGTCGACAAGGGCTGTGACGTCGGCTGGCGTCAGGGGAGGGCTCCAGACGCCTCTGCGCCCCGAGGAGATGCAGAGAAGCAGGCGCAGCGACGAGACTGGGGGCGACTGCTCCGAGATTCCCAGGCTGACCGCCGCGTCCCTCGGAGGACGCTGTCACCCAGCGGAGGAAGCGCTCGGGAGGCTGCGATCAGCGAGTCCCACCGCGAGCTGGCGGCAGGGCTGGGCCGGGAGGCACGCCGCCCACCGCGGCGCCTCGCGCTACGCCCACCTCTTCCCTGGGGGGAGACGGGCCGCCAGCCCAGCGGAGCTGGAATGTGCTCTCTGGGTGGGGACACCGGTTGCTGCCAGCGGCGCCACTTTTACTGACTGTGCCAGGCCCGCTCGCCACACCCCTGCTGGGGACTCCAAACCCTCTGCAACCTCCAAGCCGTTCTTCCGAAGGTGAGGAAGGAGAGGTCGGTCCCGGTCTGCAACTGAGGGGCTGCCCCCCACCCCCATCCTGCTTCCTGAGTAAGTAGCCCTCAGGGCTGGGGACCCTCCCATCAAGGGTGGACGAGTCCCCCAACCCTCCCAAACACGCTCTCCAGAGGCTTTCACGTCATGAGGTTTTAAAATGTTTTTAAAGAGGTGTGTGTGCATGTGGTGCAGACACGGGCCCTTCTACCCCGTCCCCTCACTCACGGAATCCCAGGGACACCTCTCAGAGCTGGCATCTCAGCCCCAACAGGAGGTCAGCTGCCAACTGGGAAAGGAATCCACGCGGAACCCTGGTGTCTGCCTCATCGCTGCCTGCCAGGAGCTGCAGGTCAGGTCCGTCTGTTCCTCAGCCAGCCTGGTGCTCGAGCACGTCTGCATCTACATGAAGTCTGCTGGGACCCCGAGCTCCGCGCGGGGACAGCTCCTTGCGGGCACCTGTGCCCTGGTGACGGGGCACGGGTCTCGAGGGAGCCATCCGGTGCTGACCACAGCGCCAGCTCAGTGCGCAGGAGAAATACCGCCACATCAGAGAGGGACGAGTCCCACAGCCCGGCGTCAGCAAGACAGGGCCCTGTCCCCCCTCCCCGGCTTCTGGCCACTAAGCAGCCCCACCAGCTCTCACCCCTAAGGCCACGAGCTCCTTCCTTTCCCCGAACCTCCCTCTGCACGTTGACTCCAAGCCACCCAGCACACCACTTATTTTCAAAGGTCTCTGAGGATTTTGCGCATTTCGGTCCTGTCTGTCCGCGAGCTGCAGGCTTGCGGAGGGCGTGACCAGCTCTTATCTTTTCCTTTCTCTCCAAAGTCCAGACACAAACCAACTTCCCTACCAGGCTGCTACGAGATTCCACGAACCCCGTTTCCTAGCTTGTCTTCAACAAGGGGTAACGTAAGGAGATGCGGAGTCCGGCGCCTCCGTCGTGGATGTCAGGCCCACCGTGAGCCTCCTGGCCCTACCTTCTTCCACCCTCACAGCCCAGAAACTGAACATTTTCCTCCATTGCGAGATTATCTAAAACAGCCTTGAAGATAATGATGAGGTTCGCCAGCCCAGAATGTTCTCAGTGGCCGGCTCGCTCTCCAAGGAGACACCTCGATGACCGGAGCCGCGCGGTGACCCCGTCAGCCCCTCCCGTCTCGCTGTCACGGCTCCGGCAGGCAGATGGCTCAGGACAACAGCGGCTCCGTTCTCGTGCAAGTCGGACAAACGAGAGGTGCTGACTGCACTCAAAACGAGCAGCAGTTGTTTCTGTTTTATTTTTAAACTATGTGGCCGTCAGCTGTCATGTCATGGTCTGAGCTTCCTCAGAAAGCAGTTGGGGTTCATTTCAAAAATCAATGGACGGATACAGCATATGCAATTTCAGGGGCTCACCTATGACAGCTGCCACCCTGATTACCTGGACGCCCAGCGCCGCCTGGAAGAGAGAGATGGGGGTGCTTTTAGCAGCTCGAGGTCAGAGCCGGCAGCGGCCGGGGGTCCCCTGCCTGCCCGGTTGTCAGCGGCAGGAAGGATTTCCTGTCGACAGCTGGGCCGGTCCTCCTCACTCTGAAGCCACACGTTCCTGCTGTTCAACCGCGTTAAACAAGGCTGCTGCCGGAGCTACTAAGTCAGCAGAACAGGCGAAATGGACTGCGTCTGCGTCCTGACCTCGACGGAAGCCCGCTGAGGGGCACCCGCGCCCCGCTCTCAGGAGAGCCTGATGGCCACACGCACAGCCCCACGATGGCCGCGGTGTCCTGAGTCACTGCTGGACTAGCGGAAGGGGCCAAAATGAGGAGGTGATGAGGGAGTTTCGGAGGCCGCTCTGAAAATAAAGACTAGTGAAAACGGCGTAAGGGGCAGAAAGCTTAGGACCAGTGCAGACTTCTGGAAGGCGTCCCTCCGCCCTCGGCCGTGCGTGACTCCACGGAAATTCTCTCATTCACTGCTCACAACAGACCTGGGAGGAAGGTCCCATATTAACCTCACTTGAGAGAGGTGGAAACTGAGACTCAGGAAATTAAATCCCTTGCCCAAGATCGTGCTAGTAAATCCCCAAAGAAAGATGGAAACGGAAAATGTCAAGTTAACGCTGGGATGTCGGCTTCCCGACTGCTGCACCTCTGCCTGGATCTTAGCCCAACCAGACGGAAGAGCGTCTGCACCTGTAACCTCTCCAGGTCTTATTTTTCCAAGTGCTATCATCTCTTACTTACGAGACGCATGAAACCAAGCAGAGAACGGGATGCAGCGACGGGGCCGGATGCCCCGCCAGCCCCACGCTCGCGTCTAGGACTCTGCATCCAGGAGCCGACCGCGCTTCCGCTGCTTCACTTCCTCACTGCGGACATCTCACTATTTATTTGAAAATTCACCGAAGGCTGGGAAGCAAATGAGTGATGGATCACAAAATGAAAACGAGTCAACCTTGATACAACGTTTTTTGAGATGATACTTGAAATCAATGAACAAAATGAGATTTTCACGGGATTCACCGATTAATCCAGTTATCCGCACCCATCACTACAACACATAATGATGCTTCTCTTTTTAAATCATCCTATAAGGTAGTTAAAATTTTTGCTAACCCACAGGAATTCTCCCCGATGCAGAGAAGTGACGCTTCTGATGAGGACAATCCTGCTGGCGTCACAGTGATTCAAGTTCCCAACTCCCGTCTGGCGCCACTGTCCTCCCTGCAGGAGTCGAATGAAGGCCCCGTTTTTCAGAGCGTGAGTGAGTGAGCCTATGACAATCTGGGCAGACACACTGAGCTCCTGTGAGGGCGGAGCTCCCGGCATCGCAGAGCACAGGCAAATTCACCTCGAGTCTCTGCCAACCCCGAATTACTCTTATTAAAACCTGCTAACAACCTGCTAACAACCATCAACTCTTCACAGGTAAATCATAAATAGATTAAAAACTGTTGTATGCTAACAACTTAGCATTTTTTAACATCAAGATGAGACTGTGCGTCTCAACATAAATATATTCAAAATTTTAACAAATATGTTCTCCATAAGATATTTGAATAAATATATTCTCCAAAACAATTTTATTCTCCAGGAAAAAAAAATTTGCCAACCGCTTAATACAAATCTAAGTATACAACGTCTTAGAGTGTCACCTTTATAAAAAGTGCATTGACGTCAAAAACATAAAAATGTAAAGCTTTTGTATGCAAAGTGAAGCTG